ATGCATTAAGTAGTTGTCTAATGCTCTCCCTCCCCTTGCCCTACACCCCCAAAAGGCCCCAGTGTGTGCTTTTCCCCTCCCTGTGTCCATGTGTTCTCAATGTTCAAGTTTCACTTATGAGTGAGAACATGTAGTGTTTGGTTTTCTGTTCCTATGTTAGTTTGCTCAGAATAATGCCTTCCAGCTTCATCCATGTCCCCACAAAGGATATGAACTCATTCCTTTTTTATGGCTGCATAGTATTCCATGGTATAAATGTGCCACATTTTCTTTAACTAGTCTATCATTGATGGGCATTTGGGTTGGTTCCAAGACTTTGTTATTGTAAATAGTGCTGCAATAAACATATGTGTGTATGTGTCTCTATAGAATGATTTATAATCTTTTGGGTATATAAATCCAGTAATGGGATCGCTGGGTCAAATGGTATTTCTGGTTCTAGAGCCTTGATGAATCGCCACACTGTCTTCTACAATCATTGAACTAATTTACACTCCCACCAACAGTGTAAAAGTGTTCCTATGTCTCCACAGCCTCACTAGCATCTGTTGTTTCCTGACTTTTTAATGATTGCCATTTCTAACTGGCATGAGATGTTATCTCATTGTGGTTTTGATTTTCATTTCTCTAATGACCAGTGATGATGAGCTTTTTTTCATGTTTGTTGGCCGCAAAAATGTCTTCTTTTGAGAAGTGTCTGTTCATATCCTTCATCCACTTTTTGATGCGGTTGTTTTTTTCTTGTAAATTTGTTTAAGTTCCTTGTAGATTCTGGATATTAGAGCTTCGTCAGATGAATACACTGCAAAAATTTTCTCCTATTCTGTAGGCTGCTTGTTCACTCTGATGATAGTTTCTTTGGCTGTGCAGAAGCTTTTTAATTTCATCCTGTTTGTCTATTTAGGCTTTTGTTACAATTGCTTTTGGTGTTTTAGTCATGAAGTCTTTGCCCATGCCTATGTCCTGAATGGTATTGCCTTCTAGGGTTTTTATGGTTTTAGGTCTTACATTTAAGTCTTTACTCCATTTTGAGTTAATTTTTGTTTAACTTGTATGAAGGGGTCCAGTTTCTGTTTTCTGCATATGGCTAACTAGTTTTCCTAGCACCATTTATTAATAAGGTTACTAAAAGTAACCTTAACAATTCAAATTAACATATATTATTCTGCATACAAAGTATACCCCAAAAATAAAATCTGTTTTTAATGAAAACTCTTGAAAAGCCAAAAAAAAGGTGTTCTTCACTGAGAAAAAAAAAAATTTTTGTTTAAATTCTGAAGGTTATTTCCAAAAGTAAATTCAAGAAGAAAACAGAAACATAATGGAAAGGAACCAGTAAGTAGGAGATACAGATGTGTAAAGTTAAGGGTATAAGTATGTATTTTTGGTAAAAGAAGGTTAAAAAGAAAAGTGAATTTTTTTTTTTAAGAGACAGGGTCTCGTTATGTTGACCAGGCTGGTCTTGAACTCCTGGGCTCAAGCAATTCTGGCACCTTGGCCTCCCAGAGTGCTAGAATTATACATGTGAAGCACCACACCCAGTCAAAGCAAGGATAAATTTGAGAAATAATTTTGTGTGGTAAATATTTTGTTCTAAATGTAGTTATTTAAACAGAGAAAGCATAAGACAAAACTAAAGATCTAAGCATGTCATAGATGGTTTATATAATTCATAATAAGGTTTGTGAAGGGTAGATTTATTAAACAAATTTGTGTGTGATCAAGTTGGCTATAATTCGAAGGAAATTATTTTTAAGTCTTCTCAAAGATTGAACTCTGAGATAAATACATTTCTCAATACAAAACTAAAAATTTGGTCCACTGCATTCGAAAAAAAGCTGTTTTTTAAAAAATTTTTTCCTAAGAATTGATCTGCTTGTAGAATAGGTTTTTACTTTGAATTCTGAAATCTGCTTTTTTAACAGCTGTCTTCTAAACTGCAGGGTTTTTTTTTTTTTTTTTTTTTTTTTTTTTGCTGTTTTTCTTCTCTTTCACAGTCTTCATTTAATTTCAGGTTAGTAAAGCTGACTTCTTCCCTTAGGATGATAATTTCATTTCTTGAGGTAGAATTTTCCTCTTAAAGCTTCTCAGATTTATAGCTCAGAAGTTTAATGTTTGCTGCACCTTATTGCATGCCATATATGAATGCTTTCAACTCTTTCTCCCTTGAGAAAGGATACCTTTAACCTTGACTGAGGTGATAACTTTCTCCTTTGACTTTTATATAACTTTTTTTCCACTGATTATAATCTAACTCTAAAATTTTTATCTTGATGGCCTACAAAAGCAATGTTTTCCTCCCGTATAGCTTGATTCTGTACACTTGGCTTTTCTTAATGTGTCTGAATCATTCCATGTAATCAGGAAACTTCCCATGCTGTATTTCCCTGCTCAAGGTACTATTTTCTTGTTTACACTCCATGGTGTGTACTCATAACCTTGACCACACAGTATTCCTGTGTCTGATTAAATTCAAGTACTGTTTTCATTGGGTTCAACTTCCAGGTTACCTAAATGGGTTTCCTATAAGGAGAAGCAATCACACAGCAAGAGGTTCTTCTCTACTTTTTTGGTAAATGGCCCAAAACCAAGTATTTTGCATTTTATCAAGATAACTTTGTGTTGTCCTTACTAGTTATTATTTTTTTATTACTTAGAAAAATAGCTTTGAAAGGGTTAAGGTTTTTTAAATCCAGGTCACTTTCTATATTGCTTTCGAAGTCCTTTGGTTATCATTCTGGTTAAATGAATGAGTATTATTTTAGTGACCTGTAATCTTGTTTTGACCAGATGTTTAAACCTTTTCACATCTTTGATAGAATTCCCCAATATCAAAATTCTAAATTAAATATTTTTGACCTAGAACTAACTTTTGGATTTTCTAATTAGGCCCTTGGAAAGCCTCAAGGTGCATATTTCTCACATTGTAAAGATATCAAATGATTGCATTTATTTTGTAAATGGTATAAGAAGCATTGCCAAATGGAAATACTGGATCTTCTTTCAGTTATAGGTATGTGATTAATACCAATGTTCTAAAATTGTCTAAAAGTTAGAGATCTAACGTGTCATCAAGTCATACTTGTTGTTATATATTGTATGCCACAAAAATAATCAAATTTCCTTGTCAATTTCTGATTATGGTAAACTTTCATCAAATTTTTAACCATGGTTATTCTAAGTCTCTGTCATCCTACAGTTATTGTTCTTATTTTTATCTAAAAGCATTTGCAATCAGATTTATAAAAAAAGATTCTAATAGTACTCTTAAATACATGTTTCTAGTAACTTAAAGATCAATGGATTAAATAAAAATCTATCAGAACTCTAATGAAGAAATGATAGGCTCATGAAACTGCTAATCAAGATCAAACAGAACAAAAATTAATTACATGAGATTGAATAACTGATGAAGATAATGTTAACATGATATTTTTTTGAAATATGTTTTTTGCTTGTTTTTGTTTTCTAGATTTAAGAAAATTTTCTCTCTAAAGCTACCTAGATTTTATAGTTTTACAAAATTGCTAACTAGCAATTGAGTAAAGTAAATTTGTGAACCAAGGTTAAGCATCTGCTTTTTCTCATTTCATTCCTATAAAATTCAAAAACTCTTCATGGGTATTTTTTTTTCTTGGAAACGTGCAATTTACTAAGTTCAATAAGAATTTGCTCTCTCTTTCTAACAGAATATAACTGGAAACACTGGTTATATTACAAATACTTTCACTATCATATCATATTAGAAAATGTGGACAGAACTGCCTGATTTCAAAGATTTTCCCAGCTTTACAGTGAGTGAGTAAGCACTATACAAACTGGGATTGTCATATTACTATACATTTTACTGTGTATTTTCCTTTTTAAACTTTGTACTTGTTGGCTGTCAAATTTCTGCAGATGCTGGGTGCAGTACCTCACACCTGTAATCCCAGCACTTTGGGAGGCTGAGGCAGGTGGATTACCTGATGTCAGGAGTTCGAGATCAGCCTGGCCAAAATGGGGAAACCCTGTCTCTACTAAAAATACAAAAATCAGCTGGGCATGGTGGTGCACGCCTATAATCCTAGCTATTTGAGAGGCTGAGGCAGGAGAATTGCTTGAACCCAGGAGGCAGAGGTTGCAGTGAGCTGATATCGCACCATGGCACTCCAGCCTGGACAAGAGGGAAACTCCATCTCAAAAAAAAAAAATTTTGTAGAAGTACAACTCCTAACAAAACAATGCTGACCCAGGACTTTGCAATGATAGCCAACACCTGTGGAACAGACAAAATTAAACTTCACAATGGATTCTAGGTAGACTTAGCCACTCCCTTAAACCTCCCTTGTGGCTAAAAGGGTTCTGACACTGACTCCTAGCCACCATTCACTCCTTTCGACAGGTGACCAGACAACAACCCAGGACAGGTCTGTTCTGACACCAAAGTAACATAAAAACCTAACTACAGGATGACTGATCAGCAATGCTTTTGGAGAAAGATCTTGATTAAAGGGGGAAAATGCAAAAGTTGTCAGAATCAAAATGGAGTTACATGATTAAAAATCCTGAAAAAACAGAGCCAAGAAAGGCCATGAAGGAAGGGTTCTCATGTTTAATTACTGATAAAAAGAACTATTACAAAAGACTGAAAAAAATCATAACCTTTTATAAAGGCTAATGCAATCCCTACACAAAAAAATACCTCAGTGAGGACATCTGCCCAGCAACTACTTGTTCAGCTCTGAACTGGTGTCATCGTTGTTATTGATCCTTGTTGCCAAGAGTAATAATCTCAAAACAATTATGTAATGCTCTTCATTTCCTTTAAAATCATTGTTTTACTTTACCTTTCTGATGATGCAGAGTTTATTACTACAGCATGTGCCTTCCAAATGCCATGCCAATTCTCAAACAGGTATCGTTTTCTTTTAGAGTCCTTCTCTCTGTTATTTAGGTTCAGAGAGTATATATCCCAAATAAAGATATAAAAAACAGTACACATAAAAACAGAAAATTACCTTGATATTTCCCTGAGATAAACAGTCTGCATGGCTTTCTTCAAATGAGGTTCAATATTTCTCCACAGTTTGCGAGTATCACGTTCACTTGCTACCCAAAGGGAAGAAAATTTCAGTAATTTTATCTTCTAAAAAGCTTTCTCAAAATAAATATTAATGAGTAAAATTACACAGTTACCTTCTCCTCTAACCACAGGTTCACAATATTTAGGAAAATTAAGTACTGCCTGTAAGTAAAGAAAAATAAAGAGAAGAATAAAGCACGGATCAATCACAATTAGAGATTTATTTTTCAAGTAAAATATGTTGTACAATTCAGGAAATTTTACTTAAAACAATTGCTCAAGTCGAATATAATTATATGCAGTGGTATGCACCTATAATACCAGCTACTCAGGAGGCTCAGGCAGAGGGATTGCTTGGGCCCAGGAGATGAAGACTGTAGCGTGCTGTGACTGCACCTGTGAGCAGTCACTGCACTCCAGCCTGGGCAATATGGCAAGACCCTCCTTCTTTCTAAAAAAAAAAAAAAAAAAATGTAATTGTAGCTTATTAGTATAATAAAAAAACAGTAAAAGTACCAATAATGATAGCACAACATAAAATATTCTTTAATTGGCTAAATCCTGCCTAATATATTAGCCTCTGTATACAGAATTATGATAAAAGAGAATGGAGTGTCTCACCAAAAATATACTTCTTTGGCGTATTTTGATATGGCTTATCAGAGGGGCTGCAAGCAGAGAATAACACTGAAAAGCTGTTTGTGTGTGTGTGTGTGTGTGTGTGAGAGAGAGAGAGATTTGCATCTGTAGAGGAAATAAGTAAACAGCAGAAAACAGGCTTTCTCTGATCATCCCCCACCTTGGATGTAGGAAAGATTAGCTCTCAGGAAAGAGACTTCAGGGTCTGACACCTCTGAAGGTCTGATAGAGAAACTTAGCACACGCTGCCATCTATTCTAACTGAAAGTTGCTACCTATGAGGTTTCATTTGCTCAACAAGACTGCCTTCCCTAATCATGTGTTTTCTCTTCTCTCCCTCCAGTAATCTGTTATGCCATGCCCGAGCCCATTTTCCTTCTGTAACCTCAGCATGGCATACAAATTTGAACCTCTGGCCCACCTTTCTGTCCCCTACCTTTTGAGGCTTATACTTTGTGTAAGGTTCCTGTGCCCACATGCATATTAATAAACTTGTATGTAATAGCTAACGCATGCAGGGCTTAACACTTAGGTGAAGGGGTGATAGGTGCAGCAAACCACCACAGCACACGTTTTACCTATGCAACAAACTTATACATCCTGCACATGAATCCTGGAACTTAATATAAAATTAAATTAAATTTAAAAATAAATTAAAATAAAAAAATAAATTTGTATGCCTTTTTTTCCTGTTAATCTCTTATTACTTTGTTTTATAGATTCAAATTATCAAACCTGCAGGGTAAAAATGTGAACTTCCCTACAGTAACAAAGCATAATTTGTACTTTTAGGTTATATTTATGCCACATAGAACCATAAAACATTTAATGAAAAACCTGAAGCCCAAAAAATTAACTGTTGCTTTCTAAGGTCTGAACATTCTCATAAATTAAACATCATAGAGTTCCATATGACTCAAAGTATTTGGATTGGCAGCACTAGCTGAGATTGTTACAAATGGAAGTTCTTGATACCATCTCAGGCATACTAAATCAGAATCTCTAAGCATAAGACCCAGGAATCTATGTTTACTGATCTCTCTAGAAATTCTATGTATTCTAAACTCTGAGGAGTACTAATTAGCTAATAATAACTACTTACTAGTTTTCCATTAATTAACACCAGAATTCTACTGAAAAGTAATTTGAGCAAACTGGTAAAAACATACTGCTTCCATATATCAATATTAGTTTGTTACCAGTATTTCATGTCAAAATAATTCAATGAGGCATAGAAAAAAGATATATATAAATGTGTAAGTATATAACATATAACTAGATAACAGAGAACTAAGAACCAAATCATTAAAATAATTTCTTCCTATTCAACTTCATAAAAACAATTATTTAAAGTAGAAAAATCTTCCAAATTCTGCTAACATTAAGTATAGAGAAGAACAATCAAGAATAAATTACTCACTTCAGCCAAACTTTCTTACCTTAATTTTAGATTTTCAGATCTAAGCATAGTTTAAAAACACTGAAGTGTCATAATGTTAACAGCAGCTGGTAAACAATTTGGCTACTAAAAATAAACAACTGACCCTCGAACAATATGGTTTGAACTGTGAGGGTCCACTTATACACAGATTTTTTTACAACCAAACACAGAACAAAAACATAGTATTCAGGGACTATAAAACTCATGAATAGGGAGGACTAAGTTTTTATACACTCAGGTTCTGCAGAGTTGATGACAGGGTTTAAGTGTGCTCAGATTTTGATATATATGGAAACCAATCCCCCAAGTATACCAAGGGACAACTGTATTGCTTTTCTTTTCTGGTTGAAACACTAAAATATGTTTAATAATTTATGAAAAACAGTTAAAAAGGCAATATCATAAGGTTTGTCAGAGAAAACAAATCTAAATGAATATTCAAAGTAGTACTTTATTTTCTCCTGCCTTAAGCTACCTATAGAACTAGCCTCTAAAAAATTCAGAGATACCAATTCCTAAAAGCACACACACACACACAGAAAAGACCCCTGAAAAAAATATTTTTCAGGTGATTTAATAAACTTTCAAGCAAAATGCCACTTACAAACTTTGAAACAAACAACACTATCTATCTGAAGAAAAAAGGAAAATATATGTTTATTATTCTATGTTCTATATCTAGAAGAAACTAGAACATTGTGCTATTTTTTTCCTCTAATGTTCAAGGATCCTTTTCTCTATTTATTATTAACAATAGTAATATAAGACTTAAACTATACTTCACATTTATGAATATGATGTTAAAAAAAGCTGTAACTTCACCCTAAATAAAATCATTCCTCAGTAAAACCTGAAGAACTTTAAAAAATACCATATTTAAATATATATTTCTCTCTTTATATTTTATTTTCCCATAAATATTTTCCTTAAATAATTTTTCCTTCTTGTACTTTATAATCTACTTTGAAATGGCTGCCAGCACAGATTCTCACAGCATTCAAGTGCTAAAGAGTGCTAACTGCCAGTTACTTTCCAGGAAAGAGAGAGAAAGATTATTTATTTGCTCCTAAGTCCATCTCACCCAGGGGTGTTTTCCTGACCCTTTCCTCTGTGTAAATCTCTTCGGTTATCATTTCTCTCAGAAGCCAGGGATCCTAAGACATCCAACTTCTCGAGGAATATTAGTGATAAGCTTGAACTGGAAAAACTGTTCTGTTTTTTTCCCAACTGAGAAGATGTCTGAGATCTACACGGAAAATCAGAGAAGCCCTGAAATCTGAAACTTTCAAAAACATACTAAATGTGAGCATAATTTTAAATGATTGTCTTCTGTGTTCTGTCTCAAACACACACTGAATCTAAGTAATACTTTTCAGGGCAAAAACAGAAAAAGAGCTAAGTGAAGAAATTGTGCTAAGAGACATAGAATCTGTTACTTTGAAAGTAACTGTTTTCCAGCCTTATTACAGAAAATATTACTATTTTCTGCTAAATGGAGATAAGATCTCCATTATTAATTGAAGGTTTCTAAAAGAGAAACCAGAAATTCTTGTCTCCTTCCTTTCCCATCCCCATAGTAAATGAAAAGGGTCAAAGGAAAATTAAACATCAACGTTTTTCCGAACTGTCTATGAAATATAAACAGCTACTCTAATTGTTTAAAATAATTTTTTAAAAAACCTTCTATACAAAGATTACCAGCTTAGGGTCAGTGGCTAATGAAAGACCTACAATGAAAGCTTCTGACCAAACTCAAGTCTTCCTAGATTCTAGAAACTCAATCACTGCATACATAAAACTTAAACAAAATCTGTTACAAAACATTAACAGACTTGTAAAACTGTTCAAGTTTTTACATCTCTTTTCTGTTATTCCTCATTTTGAGTTTAATGGAGTTCTGCATTTTCTGCAATTAGAGAAAAGAGAAAAAAGAAAGAGTGAGAAGATCTGAGAATGACATTTTTCTGATCAGACCAAAGTTTGTACTAAACCACAGACATCTTCCTTCTTGTGGTATATTAGCTTCAAGAGGCCATATGCAAATTCCCAGAATAAAATTTTAGTTTCTAACTTACCTCACACCATTTCTACATGGAAAAAAAAAAAAAAATATATATATATATACACACACACACACACACATATGTATACACACACACACACACAAACACACACACACATATATATATTGAAGCAAAATGTTTATTTACCAGATGTCTGAGCTCTTTCAAATCTCGACAAACAGTGTAGAAAACTCCAAGAAGAATGTTAATGTAGGCAGCATAGAAATCAGCTGAATACTCTGGAGGATGATCATGGGAAAGGATCTTTTGAAGGTTCCCTGTTCACAGGACACAAAATAACTTATAACAATTAACACAGCACCCTAATCATAGCTTCGAGCATTTCATAACAAAGGAGTTAAAAAAAAAAACCCAGATTCAGAAATAATTAAGGAATAATAAAACTATTACAAGATTAGAAAAGTGTGATTTGTGATATAATAAAAAATACATATTTGATTTTCACCCCAGTTCCTGGCAGACAGCTTCAAAAAACCCTCAGAATTTAAAGAATGAGAAGGATAAATGGAGTATCTTTTGATACTCATAATAAGCCCTTTCTTGATGGGTGACATGGTTTGGCTCTATGTCCTCACTCATATCTCATTTGAAATTTTCAGTGTTGGAGGAGGGGTCTGGTGGGAGTTGACTGAATCACGGGGCAGACTTTTCCCTTCCTGTTCTTGTGTTGAGTTCTCATGAGATTTGGTTGTTTCAAAGTGTGTAGCACTTCCTCCCTCGCTTTCTCTCTCCTGCTGTAAAGATGTGTTTGCTTCCCCTTCACTTTCTGCCATGATTTTAAGTTTCCTGAGGCCACCCTAGAAGCAGAAGCCTGTACGACCTGCAGACTGTGAGCCAATTAAACCTCTGTTTTTAAAAAATTCTTTATAAATTACCCGGTCTCAGGTATGTTTATAGCAGTCTGAGAATGGACTAGTACAGTGGGCCCCTAGGTAGCTTCAGGATGGGGACTGGTTGTCAGAGGAATCAACCATGTGATTACAGGCCTGTATTCTCACATACACTGCTATGAAGAAATACCCAAGACTGGGTAATTTTAAAGAAAAGAGGTTTAATTGACTCAACAGTTCCACATGGCTGGGGAGGCCTTGAAAACTTACAGTTATGATGGAAGGTACTCTTAACAGGGCAGTAGGAGACAAAATGAGTGCCAGCAGGGGAAATGCCAGACACTTACAAAACCAACAGATCTCATGAGAACTTACTAGTACAAGAACAGCATGGGGGAAACACTCCTATGAGTCAATTACCTTCTACCAGGTTCCTCCCATGACATGTGGGAATTATGGGATTGTAATTCAAGATAAGATCTGGGTGGGGACACAAACCAAATCAAATCAAGCCCCTACCTCCTGTCCTTGGGAAAAGGAGAAGGACTAAAAAGATTGAATTCATCACCAATGGCCAATGATTTAGTCAATCATGGCTATATAATGGCACCTCCATAAAAAAAATCATAAATGATGAGGTTCTGAGAGTTTCCAGGATAGTAAATATATCCACATTCTAGGAGGGTAGCACACCCTAGCCCCACAGGGAAGAAGCTCCTGGGCTTGGGACCCCAATGGTCCTTGCCCTGTGTATCTGTTCATCTGGCTGTTCATTTGTATCCTTTATAATAAACCAAGTAAAGTGTTTTTCTGAGTTCTGTGAGCCATTCTAGCAAATTATCAAACCTGAAGAGGAGGTCATGGGAAACTCCAATTTATAGCCAGTTTTCAGGAGTATAGGTAGAAACCTGGGACTTAGACTGGTGTCTAAAGTGCTAATATTCTTGTAGGACTAAGCCCTTAACTTGTGGGGTTAGTGTCACTAACTTCTGGTAGTTAGTGTCAGAAGTGAATTGAATTTTAGGACACCCACTTGATATCTAGAGAACTGAAGAATGTGTTGTTGGGTGAACAAAAATACCCAATACATTTAGTGTCAGAAGTGTTTTGAGTAAAAATAATTCTGAAAAAGTAATCAAAATTTTGAAACTGAGGTTAAAAAAAATTATTAAATAGGCCAGGCATGGTGGCTTATGCCTGTAATCACAGCACTTTGGGAGGCCAAGGTGGGCAGATCATGAAGTCAGGAATTTGAGCCTGGCCAATAGGGTGAAACCTGTCTCTACCAAAAATACAAAAATTAGTCAGACATGGTGGCACGTGCCTGTAGTCCCAGCCACTGGGGAGGCTGAGGTGGGAGAATAACTTGAGCCCGGGAGGGAGAGGCGGAGGTTGCAGTGAGCCGAGATCGCACCACTGCACTCCAGCCTGGGTGACAGAGTGAGACGCCATCTCAAAAAAAAAAGAAACTATTAAATACTCCTTAAGACAACTAGAAAACAATTACATCTAGAGAAAATCTCAAGAACCATATTGCTGACAAAATCAGGAAAAAGGAAAAAAATACTGAAGATTCTAGTTTATTTTTCTTCCTATTAAGTAAATCAACTAGGAAAAAAAAGAGGGGATAGTACATAAACTACCAACAAACTAGCAAATGCTCTTCATGCTTTGTAAAATGAAAAGAATACATTAATTTTTTTTAAAACAATCATCACCTGATCCTAGTCCTTACTTTGTTATTCCCACTCTTATAAAACAAGTTTTCTCCCTACAACTTTGGTATCTTTATTTCTCTGCTATTTTATCTCAGACTCTTTACAAAATGTCATGTTAAGAGTCCTAACCTTTTATTTTATCCTGCTGGAAATAATCATATTTTAGAAGCACAGTAAAATTTAAAGGAAACAACCATCTATTATTCAAAGTTTCCCAGTCTTAATACAGGAATCAGTTAGTCATTCATTCCTTATTGTAAAATCCTCTGACTTCTTGGTGCAATGATCTCCTTAGACTTCTCAGTTAAGAGCTCTTTGCATATGACTAGAATTTAAAACCTAGTTCCAGAGTGCTCAAGTTTTTTGCAAAAAATTACAGATAAAAACCCTTCCAGGATATTCTGATCATGTCAATTTCCCTAAAAATACTAACCATTATGTTAGTATTTTTAACCAGGCCATTTACCATTGGCTTTTGATTTTAACCACTCTTGTGCCTCACAATAAATTAGATACAGGTACAAAATCAAACAATATATATGAACTATCAATGAAAATTTATTAACAGAAGTTTAGAAACAACTCTATTAAGGAATATTTTAAACACAGCAGTTGACAAAAAAAAAAAAGATTTAAAGCCTTGTTTCATACTTAGAATATTATCCTGAAGAGATACTAGATGAGACAGTGTTACTGAATTTCCTTTTTTATTTCAAAACTACTGAAAAAAAAAAAAAAAAAAAAAAAAAAAGCGAAAACTTCCCTTTGGAGTCTACATACTTTTACATTCTAATGGCAAATTTTAAATATAATGTCACTAAGTTGTTTTAGCTATGCATGGGGGGAATATAAGATATAGTGAAATTTTCTAAAAGGTACTATAAAACTTAGAACAAAGGTGTCTACCTATAAAACCTACCAAATAACTGGATGGATGTAAGAAAAGAGAGATGGAGGGAAGAGATCAGTGATCAGAGAGATGAACATAGATAAGCAAAAAAAAAAAAAAATATTCTATAAATGAATGGATAAGAAAATTTGGAAAACAGTTGAGTCTCCAGCTCAGACTGTACTTCTAAGTGCCCCCTGAACATCTCAATGATATTTCTTGCATGTAGCCCTCAGTATCCCATAAGATAGTCGATTAGATGTTACCACTGGCCTACTTCAGCTCTCATGAAAGTCTTAAAAGAATCAGAAACCTCACTATGTTACTGTAAAAGTAAACCAGCTACTTGCTTATAGACTGCAGTCAAAAATCTCAGAATACAATTCTGTAACAAGCAAGTCATGCCAGCTCTAAGAGTCTAGGACTATTCAAATTCATGAAAAAAATCCCATCTATAACGAAAAGCTGAAAACAGTGTATCGTCAGGTAGTAAATAAAAGGTAGGAGAAACCCACTGCTTGGTCTCTTTGGGTCTTAAAATTTCATTATCCAAATATAGTCTCATGTACAAAGAAAAGCCATTCCTAACTTGGAGAGAGACTTCTGCTTCCAGTTGTGAGACAGTAAGAGCATCCAGAAATACCCTCCTCTTATAATCAATTAAAAATTGGACACAGAATAGAAAATGACTATTTTCAAATATCAAACAAATGGTAATAAAGGACCGTAATACCTGAGAAAAGGTAAACAAATAAGATGAGTCCTACCAGTAGTCAACCTTTGTAACGAGGCAATTTTAAGACTGTATTGCAGGTAGAGTTCCAAAAGGAGCTCATTTATCCTGCTGAATTGAGGAGACAGAGACCAGAGCAGAGAGTGCTGAAGTAGCTAGAGTTTGCAGGGCAGAGTACCTGAGAGGAGGAAGCTATGCCAAAAAAAGAGCTCCAGAAATCTGTACAGGGGTTCCCTCCAGTCTCAGTTTAAGACCAATCTATGCTTATAGATGATTATTTCACAGGAATAGTGTATGCATAGGGTAAAACCCTATAAAGCCACGCAAGAATTAGTTGTTGGGAAAAACCATTATAGGAGAGCTATATGTCAATTCCCAGAATTCATATAGGGCTGTGAATTTTTCATGTTGCCACCAGTCAGAATGCAGAGACCATGCTAAACACACAGGGCATTCAGTAGAGATTCCAGAAAAACTATGCCTTAGAAGTGAGCTAAAATTAGCCCTGGAATAAAGGCTACTCTAGATCTTCTCTCCAAAAAAAGCTTAAAAATAGTCTTAAAAGGGTCAACTATATCTGTAAGTAATTATAAATGCTAATGAGAAAAAAGTCCAAAACACAACAAAAAATACAATGTCTATAATTCAATCAAAAACTACTAGAAACATGAAAAAGTATAATGGATACCCAAGATGGACACAAAATTAGTCGGTGGGAACAAACTCAAAACAAAAAAGGTAACTGAATTAGTAAACAAGAACATTAAAACAACTATTATAAACATATTCATATGCTCAAGGATATAAAGGAAAACAAAAGCATAATGAGATCAGTAACGAAAAATGTTACAGGATGAAATTAGCTGCCTACTAGAGACTTGTGAAAAAAAAATCAATGAACTTAGACATAGAAACAAAAAACAATTCCAAATAAAACACTTAAATAAAAAGGTATAAAATTTAAATAAACAGTCTTTCAATGGGCCAATAACAAGCGGTCTAACATACTTACAACACAATCTCACACTAAAAAAAAGAGGAAAAGGTAGCGGGGGAGACAGACAAAATATTTGAAGAAATAATGTCTGAAATTTTTCCACAGTTGATGAAACTATACACCCACAGATTTAAGAACTCAACAAATTCCCAGCAGAATAAACAGTTATTTTCTTTCTTGTCTTTTTATTTGTTAAAGCCAAAATATTAAATATTATATTTAATATTTGAGTTTTATAATAGTTGAATAATATAATATTACATGGTTTATAAAAAATATAGAAGTAAAATGTAAGAAAACAGCAGTACAAATGTCGTTAGGTAGGAAACTATAAGTCACTGAAATTTCAGATTGTTATCAGAACTTAATCTATCCTGACACAATAACTAAACCAAAAACCTGATCAAGTACATTATAATCTGTCTGAAGAAAAAAATATCCATTGCCTAAAGATGAGTAGTCTGTAAGAGGTAAAGACCAGAAAGCAAGACTTCCAAATTGGGCTTCTAGCCATAACTGCTAAGATGAGTGCTGTCCTTAAAATTAGGCAACATATTCCTGAAAATGACATATGTTTTAAATTATTACAGCTGAATAACATTAACCACTTAGATAATCTCTTTGCCCTGGTTCCACGCTTAGCCATAATTTTAACTTATCGATTAATGTTCCCCTTCTGAATGGCTTTTTGTCTGACTACAGTGTTTTTGCTTTAAAAAACCTGAATACGTAAAAGGCCCTAAAATTTAATAATCAGAATTTAACTTGGCTCTGTTATTATATACTTTTCAAAAATCTATTATCCTATACTCACTAAAGTTAGCAAGACCACTTTATTTGCTTTTGTCCTCAAACTACCTATATGCTGCTTTGTATTTTTACTTTTTAAATTTTTTAATCAAATTCTATAGTTACATTATTAATTCAACATGACTAAAATGTACAAAATCAACATATTTTTATAATTTTCTTAAATTCTAAATTTCTCAGTACTTAAAAGTAAAATGGGTCATGAAAAAACTAAACTATGAACAGTGCTGACATAGGTACAGTTTTTTTGTTCAAATAAAATCTTTTATTACTTTTCCTCCTTTCTTTTTGTATTTTGGGATTTTCATGGATGAGAAATTAATGAAAATAAGGACTCCCTTCATCTATTTTGGGTTGCTGTTTAAAAAAATCTCAGCTAATTAGCTAAGACAGGAGGTGTTATTTGACTGTTGTTCTGGTGAAAACAGGCAAAAATGTGCTAATCTTAACAATGTATGTTTATAGCTGATTAGTTCAGAGGAATAGTGTTAATGAGGCCAAGGTCATGAAATGCTATGTTTTTTGAGACGGAGTTTCACTCTTGTTACCCAGGCTGGAGGGCAATGGCGCGATCTCGGCTCACCGCAACCTCCACCTCCTGGGTTCAGGCAATTCTCCTACCTCAGCCTCCTGAGTAGCTGGGATTACAGGCACACGCCACCGTGCCCAGCTAATTTTTTGTATTTTTAGTAGAGACGGGGTTTCACCATATTGACCAGGATAGGCTCGATCTCTTGACCTCGTGATCCACCCGCCTCGGCCTCCCAAAGTGCTGGGATTACAGGCGTGAGCCACCGCGCCCGGCCGAGATGCTATTTTTTTATAGCCTGCTAACCACCTTATGCTTCACAGTTATAATCTCTGAATCACAAGTATCATCTCTGTATGACACCCCACTGTTAATCCATAAAGCTCTTCAGCAACACAAAAAATTATTGTGTTCTTCCAAAAGCCAAAATCATCAGGATCTATGAAATTTAAGATTAAATACAACCCCCAAGAAAATAAGACACACAAAGGCTGGTAATTGGTACTATATGAATTAAAGAAAAATGAGATTTACGAAATCAAAAGATGCAAGTCCAACATACATTAAACCCAAGTATATGGTAAATGAAGATTTCAACACACTCTTAATATGCTTTACCAGTCTAGTTTGATTATTTGTACTGATGCCATAATCACAATATATGTACATCTTAATGTACTGACAAAAAAATGAAGATACATTGGCACAAATATGAGAGCTGCTCATCCAAAAGAAATTAGTAATTATACAATAACCTCCCACAGTTCCAAAATAAAAATTTTGTAAGTGCAGAACTACAAACATCTTATTTGAGACTGGCAGCAAACCTTAGCAGTTTAAGATATCAAAGTATCCCATTTGAATATGCTAGTTTAATCTTTCAAACAACAAAAACTATTCTACTGCATATCGTTTGCCAAAACAATGTTTTAAGGTTTACCTATGCTGTAATCAGGAAAATACAAGACAAATGGCTCAAAGCATCCAGTATTTGGACGAAACTTTTCCCAAACAATTTCACTGAGAAAGATAACAGTCACATTTCTGTCAGCCTGTAAAAGAAAGGAATAAAAGTAACTTTGCATTTAAAAGTCTTAATCAGAGCACTACTTCCATTTAGGTTTTCTTTAAAATAAATCCCCCACAGTTCTAACCTATAACAAATTATTTGCATATCAATAAACCATATTTAGAAAACCGAATCAAGGCGCTCATCCATTTGCAAAGTGTCACACACTTATAGGTTAATTGACATTTCAGTTACCCATGAGTGGTAGGATAGTCACATAACTTATAGACATTTTAAAAATTATTTTATTTTTATTTTTTAAAGAACTTATAGAAATTAAGACTATATTTACTTGAATACTTAAAACTCTCTTATGGAAATTTTCAAAAAAATCATAAGCTTTCAATCAATAAACAATAAAATACAAAACTTAGCATTTACCATCATTAAAATGGCTACTCTAACCCAGAGAAAACAAAATATGGAGTTGCCATATGCCAAAACAGATATGCCCTAATATATAACATGATATAAAAAGAAAAGTTTAAGGTTTTTAAAAAGATTATTTTTACACAAATTGAGTAAAACTGATGTTGAAGATACATTAAAAACACTAACAACTATGAGTTATTAGTATCTAAAACACCAGTGTAAAGCAGATGGCCTCTGAAGTATATTTAGAAATTAAAATTAATATACCAAAGAAGAACATTAAGGGAATAAGCTCAATGTGTCTGTTATCCTTCAGAGTGGACACAAATACTCTATGCATTGCTAGCGAGAATTCATTGAAATTTTTCTCATATTCTTTTTGACATTTCCGAAGCTGACAAAGCAGATATGATAGCTGTTTTGGTCTACAAGTATTCTTTGGACCCAATCTCATATGTAAATTATTCTACACTGTTACAGTGATTAACTATTTATTGATTCCTAACTTGTGTATCCTAATCTTATACACCAACTTTCATTATTTAGAAAAACATTATTTTGATTAACATAGACAGCTGAGTACAATAAATTCTTAATTTCATTGAATATCTAGCATCTTTATGAAAGAGGACAGAATGTTTACTTTCAAATGCTTTTTTGTCTTATAAAATCATTGTTTTTTTGAGACAAGGCCTGGCTCTGTCACCCAAGCTGGAATGCAGTAGTATACGAGCTCACTGTGGCCTCAACCTCCCCAGATATAAATGATCCTCCCATACCTCTCGAGTAGCTGGAACATGTGTTACCATGCCCGGCTAAATTCTGTAACTTTTGTAAAGACAGGGTCTCCGTATGTTGCCCAGGCTGGTCTTGAACTCCTGGACTCAAGTGATCCTCCTGCCTCAGTCTGTCAAAGTGCTGGGATTACAGGCATTAGCCATCCCATTGGGTCTGATTTTTTAAGAATTTCTGAATTTATTTCTATAGGGGTAACACAGTATGCCATAATCACAATCCTGATAACAAAGTATCAAGTTGTTTTTGCTATAAAAATATCATTATCTAAAAACATTTTATAAAATCAGTTAAATATATTCAGAAGTTTAAAAAAAGAGGATATTTATCAAGCTGAAAGGATTTTAAATTGGTAATGTTCTCATCTATTCTTCTGATAAGGACTTTCAGCATATATGATATCCATCATATTTTAAATTTCCTTTCACTTAGATACTTAATAAATAAAAAAAGAGAAATGCTTTTGCCAGATTTTTCTTAAATGAAATACATTTTTAAAAATCATGTATGTTTCCAGAAATGTCAAAACAATTCTCTTTTCCAGTTCAGCTGAGATTACTCTAAATCTTTAAATTTTCTTCAAACAGCTTCTATAATTGAAACTAAAAAATGGTAAAAAGTCCTAATTGTTGTGAAGGGACAGATGATCGCCATTACTGTGTATAAGGAGGAAAAAAATAGGGTAATTTACACTGAAAAGGCAAGAAGACAATAATGCATTCTGGATAGCAGATGGTGAGTTCTAGAGCAAAGCAATGGGAAATATTGGATGAGAGTATGCAAAAACCTGCAAACACAAACGCAACAAATAAAAGGAAATGCTATAGGAGACTTCTACTCAAAGAAGACAGGTCTTGAGTCTCAGTAATAAAATGTCAAGAGTTAATGATACCAAGAAAAGCTAGACTGTCTGAGGTTAACTTCCAGAATAGGCCACCAATAACTATACTTATTCTCCTGTCCTCTCTATACCTCCCCTCTCTCAACTATTACTAAAAGTAAACTTCAGGAATCGGCCTTAGGCACACAATGATTTCAGTGGCCTCTCTAAGCTTCTAGCAGATTCTCAAATTTGAGTAATATATTTAACTTTAAAAGGCAGAAATGCTTTGAGCACTCCTGCCCTCCCTAAGTATTTATTATAATTTTGCTTAATACTTTAAAACATATAAACATAAAAGTAGATAAATATAAACTGCTTAGGCTCAAAGCCCTTATAAAATTATAAAACCAAAATAAATTTATAAATACAAACTATAAAACCAGTAAAATTTAATTAATATTAACTGAATATATTGAACAGTATTGTTCTGCTCACACAAAATCTTTGTGAATATGGTCCTACCTGGAAACAACCACAGCTATTTCCCTCACCAATTTTCTTTATTCAAACGATTATAAAACCCTGTTTTATCTGTGATACAATTTGGCTTTCAGCTGATACAAATGCCTAGTAAGTCCACTCCTGTGCTTTTCTTACTGGGCCATGACAATCACAGTAGTACTAATTCGTAAGCCCTCACTTAATGTTGTTGATAGGTTCTTGGAAACTGTGACTTAAAGTGTAACATATAATAAAACCAATTTTTTTTCTCAACAGTGTTAAAATGAACTGATGCTGAAGGTAAGGAGAACCTGCTGTAAGCAGTTTCACTTAAAGCCGTATTTCCCAAGAATCTACTGAATGTTACGTGAGGACTTACTGTACTATGTGGAACCAACACAAGAGTAAACTGAAATACAAAGGTAAACTCTGACAGTGAGTGGTCATAAGATAGAAATCCAGATGATCCAGAATAGCCATGCCATTCTTTAGATTATTCTTATTTTGAAATGCAAAGAAAATTGTAAAATTCTTGTGAGATTTTAAAGTCTGACCCTCTAGCACTTATTCTAGCAATATCTAAAATCTTTTAATAGAAAGCAATCACTTCATAGAGAGAAAAAGCTAAAATAATTGAAGAATAAATGCTATCAAATCAACTGCTTTTAGTATGAAAAAAATACTGAGGTTTACTCATAACAGAGAAATGTGAACTAAAATTACATTAAAATGTTAATTGTCACCTATCAAATAGCAAAATGAAAAAAATTCACAACACGATCTGTTGATTAGGTTGTGGGGAAAAACCACTCTCTCACATTACTTACCAATTCCTGTAATCTAAGAAATCCAGGCAAAAGATTTGCTTCCATATCTCTTAGATACTCTGCTTTATCTAGAACCTTAAAAAAAAAAAGTATTTATAAACCCTTTACAAAATGACATGATTTGAGTATGTCCCCCAAAGTTCATGTGTTGGAACTTAATTCCCAAGGCAACAGTACTGGGAGGTGGAGCCGCATAAAAGATGATTAGGTCATGAGGGCTCTGCCCTCATGAATGAATTAATATTGTTATCAAGGGAGAGCATTAGTTATTGAAAGAATGGCTTTGTTATAAAAGGAACTTCTACCACCTCTTGCTCTCACCCTTGTCCTCTCTTGTACTTCTTCCTTTCATCATGAGACAAGGCAGCAAGAAGGCCCTTGCTAGATGCAGGCACCTAAACTTTTGACTTCCTAACCTCCAGAACTGTGAGAAATAAATGTCTTTTTTAAAATAAATTATCCAGTCCATGGTACGCTGTTATAGCAACACAAAATGGTCTGAGACAGTAAGTTTACATAATATACTGCAAAATTCAAAACTTGAATTTTCCAAGTTATAAAGAAAAATTATAACTTCTGAATTAACTTTTAAAATCCTCTTTATAATTGTAGAAAGACATTTGAAATAGATTAAGTAAGTTAAAAAGCAGACTACTTCTAACACGTTTTAACTCAAATGTCTAAATACAAAATGAGTAATAGCTACATTTAAAAGGTTTGTTTTAAAGGCACACTACCAAAGGAAAAATAAAAACAGATGGTGTAACATATCCTGATGACACTTTCTTAGGTATCTACAGCTGTGTGCATTTCTTATTCCATTTGATAAAAGATAGATGGCTACCATGTACCAAAAATTACAGGTCTTTCTTATCCAAGAGAAACAAGAAAATTATGAATTTTGTCATGTAGAACCATCTTTCTTCAACTTTGTAACTGCATGATAAACCCTGTCTAACTAACTGGATAACTGATCATGTTAAAAAAAGATTCAATTTTTGTTCAGTGTAATGATAATGTTATTGGGATTACAGTTTTTCAAAAAGTCCTACATTTTAGAGATATATAGTGAAGTATTTATGGACCACATGATTTGATACAGGTAATAGTGAATGGGGTACAATTGACACAAAGTTTGGCCGCATATTAATTATTGAAATAGGGTGATGGATATATAACATTATTCTCTTTACTTAACGTGTCTGAAATTTCCATAATAAAAAATGTTTTTTTAAAAAAAGTTTCAAGAGGTCCATTAAAACAAAAAACCTGTCCATTAAAACAAAGAAATCAAAGTCTTTTTTAAGACTACCTAAAACATTTAGTCTAACGTTTGTTTTTATTATGGAAAATTTTAAACACATACAGAAGCAGGGAGACTAGTACTATTATATTAATCTGCACATATATACATCACCCAATCCCAACAAATACTAGTATCAACATAAGGCCAACTTGTTTCTTCTATGCCACCCTTTACCTCCTCCTCTACCATTTTGTTGGATTATTTTTAAATAAATCTCAGACATTATATCATTCCATCCTAAATATGTAGTAAGCCACTCTAAGAGATGAGGACTCTTTTTAACCATAACCACAGTATCATGACACCTTATAAAATTAACAATATTCTTTAATATCATCTAATAACCAGTACTCGAATTTTCCCACTTGTCTCATCCATTTCTTCTATATTCAGTGTGTTTAACTCAAGATCCAAAAGGGTCCACATATTGCAACTTGTAATGTGATTTAATTGTCTTCCAAGTTTCTTTATAACAGATCCTCCTATCTTTGATTCTTTATTTGTTATATAAACTAGGTCATCTGTCAGGCAGACTTTCTGTATTTTAGATTGGCTGATTGTGTCACTGTAATGACATAAAACACATATCTGTATCCCTGAAATTTACTGTAAAACAGCCAATAGATCTAGAGGTTTGATCAGACTCAGGTTCAAGTTTTGGGCAAGAATACTTCACAAGTAGTGCAGTAAATTTTTTTACTGCAGTGTATCAGCAGGCATATGATACTTAGTTGTCTCTCTTTTTTGTGATATTAAGATGGATTCACAGATTCAGGCATTGTTAGTCTGATTCATCCATTACAAAGTTCCCCAGCTGCCTTTCAAACAACGATTTTTTCATCTCTTGATGATCACTGCTTATAATTACTATTTCATTAGGGATCGCAAAAGTATAATCCTTTACCATTCTTTCTGCATTTACAGGTGGACATTTTTATAGAAAGAACTTTCCCTCATCCATGATTTGGCTACCCAGAAAGTTCACATATGACAAGAAAGATAAATATCTTGCCCTTTATTTGCCAATTTTCAGAATAATAAGCTTGTGTTTATATTAGTTTGCTGTGGTTGCTGTAATATTACCACAAACTTGCTGGCTTAAAACAGACTTAAAATTCATTCTGTTACAGTTCTGGAAACCAGAAGTGAGAAGTCAGGTTCACTGAGCCAAAATCAAGGTATGAGTAGGGCCACACTCTCATTCCAGTACCTCTAGGAGAGAATACATTCCTAGCCTCTTTCGGCTTCTGGCAATTGTCAGCATTTCTTGGCTTGTGGCCACATCATGCCAGTCTTCAAGGCCAGCATCCTCGAATTTCCCACTGACTCTGCTTCCTGCTGCTTCTGTTACCTGGCCTTCTCCTCTATGTGTGTGGTGTAGTTCAATTTCCCTCTGCTTCCTTCCTATGTAAACATATGACTATATCTCAGGTCCACCCAAATAATCCAGGTAAATCTCCCATCTGAAGATTCTTTATGTGATCACATATGCAAAGACCCTTTTTCCAAATAAAGTAACATTTGTAAGTTCCAGAATTAGGACTTGGCATCTTATCTTTGGGTGCCATTATTCAGCCTACTACATGCCCTACTAAATTATACTCCCAAGGTAACCAATGAGTTGGCATTTTGTATCTTTAAAGTATTTGTTTTTGATGTATTGTTATGAATTTGTGCATTTTAAGGTATCTAATATATGCTTCCATTCATTGAATTCCTTATTTTTTTTGATGGCCAAATTGTCCTATCTTTGGCCAGTGGGAACCTCTTTTAATTTGCTTCCATTTCTTTTTTAAATGACCCTAATAGTCATTGATGGTTTCCTAGCTATTTGGTATGGCAAGACGTTCTAGGCTCTTCTTGTACATTTTCTGCCTAGAACTAAAATCACTCTTCCTCTAAAGAAACCTGTTATCTTCCCCTATACTTTATTACTAAGTTTTATTGCAAAGTATAATCACTTAAATTAAGAATTTAAGAATTCCTCAAATTAACCAAATTTTTATATCTGTTTTATTAATAGCTTAAAACAATGTATAAGAAAAATCATACTTAAGATACTTTATTCTGTTTAGACAAAAAAACTAAAATTATTTACTGCTATAAAGATATGCATTCACGAAGTATTTTAATTATAAAATTACCCATCAATCTCCATTTAAAAAACTCTCTCATCCAGAACAGATTAATTAAAATACATTCATCAAGTTTTTTCTGCCCATTTTAATGCAAAACACAAAGCTAAAGCAGTAAAATAGTTAATTATTCCAATGTGATAAGTTAACCCATTGTAATAATCTTATAATACTCTAATGAATACTCCTTTTAAAAAGCCATTATCAGACTAATATTAAGAGAAGCAGAAATGCTAATTCAGATCCAAATACTTTTCTTAATTTACACTAAGGCATTCTAATAGTCTCTCAATTTGTAGGCTAGCAAAATAATATGGTTAGGCTTTGTAGCGCCACTGAAATCTCATGTTGAATTGTAATCTCCATAATCCTTATAATCCTGTGTCAAGGGAGAGACCAACTAGAGGTCATTGAAATACAGGGGTGGCTTCCCCCATGCTGTTTTCATGATAGTAGGTGAGTTCTCACAAGGTGGTTTTATAAGGAGCTCTTCTCCATTTGCTCAGCACTTCTCTTCCAACTACCTTGTGAAGAAGGTGCTTGCTTTGCCTTCGCTTTCCACCATAATTGTAAGTTCACTGAGGTCTCCCCAGCCACATTGAACTGTGAGTCAAACTTCTTTCCTTTATAAATTACCCAGTTTTGGCAAGTTCTTTATAGCAGTATGAAAATGGGCTAATACAGTAAATTGGTACCAAGGTAGTTGGGTACTGCTATAAAGAGTGGAAAATGTGAAAGTGACTTTGGAACTGGGTAACAGGCAGAGGTTGGAAGAGTTTGGAGGGCTCAGAAGACAGGAAGACATGGGGAAGTTTGGAACTTCCCAGAGACTTGTTGAATGACCATGACCAAAATGCTGACAGTGATATGGACAATGAAGTCCTGCCTGAGGTGGTCTCAGATGGAGATGAGAAACTTCTTGGGAACAGGGAATCAAGTGACTCTTGGTATGCTTTAGCAAAGAGAAGGGTGGCATTTTGCCTCTGCCCTATTGATCTGTGAAACTTTGAACTTGAAAAAGATGATTTAGGGTATCTAGTGGAAGAAATTTCTAAGCAGCAAAGCATTCAAGAGGTGATCTGGCTGATTCTGAGAGCATTCAGTCATACGCATTCACAAAGAGATTATCTGAAACTGTAACATATTTTAAAGTGAAGCAGAGCAGAAAACTTTAGAAAATTTGTGGTCGGACCATGAGTTAGAAAAGAAAAACCCATTTTCTGGGGAGAAATTCAAGCCAGCTGCAGAAATATGCATAAGTAACGAGGAGCCGCCAAATATTAACAGCCAAGAAAATAGGGAAAATGTCTCCAAGGTATGTAGAGATCCTCATAAGGCAGCCCACCCCATCACAGGCCCAGAGGCCTAGGAGGAAAAAATGGTTTCATAGGCCAGGGCCTAGGTGCTTTGCGCAGTCTCAGAACTTGGTGTCCTACATCCCCACTCATGGATAAAAGGGGCCATTGTATAGCTCAGGCTGTTGCTTCAAAGGGTGCAAGCCCTAAGCCTTGGTGGCTTACATGTGGTGGTCCTGCAGGAGCATAGAAATCAACTAATGTTTGGGAACCTATGCCTACATTTGAGAGGATGTATGGAAACGCCTGGATGTCCAGGCAAAAGTTGGCTGTAGGGGCAGGGCCCTCATGGAGAACTTCTGCTAGGGCAGTGCAGAAGGGAAAAGTGGGGTTGGACCCCCTACACAGGGTTCCCCACTGGGATATTGCCTAGTGGAGCTATGAGAAGAGGGCCACCATCCTCCAGATCCCAGAATGGTAGATCCAACAGCTTGTACGGTATGCATGGAAAAACCAGAGGTATTCAACCTGAGCCTGTGAGGAGGGTACTGTACCCTGCAAAACCACAGGGATGGAGCTGCACGAGGCCATAGGAACCCACTCTTGCATCGGCATGCCCTGGATGAGAGGCATAGAGTTAAAAGAGATCATTTTGGAACTTTGAAGTTTAATGGCTGCCCTACTGGATTTCAGACTTTCATGGGGCCTACAGCCCCTCTGTTTTGGTCAATTTCTCCCATTTGAAAAGGCTGAATTTACCCATTGCCTATATCCCCATATTATCAAGGAATTAAGTAATTTGCTTTTGATGTTACAGGCTCATAGGTGGAAGGGACTTGCCTTACCTCAGATTAAGACTCTGGAATTGGACTTTTGGGCTAATGCTGGAATAAGTTAAGACTGGCGGACTACCGAAAAAGCATGATGGGTTTTGAAATGTGAAACGGGCATGAGATTTGGGAGGGACAAGGGTGGAATTACGTGGTTAGGCTTTGTGTCCCAATTCAAATCTCATCTTAAATTGTAATTTCCACAATCTCCATAATCCCCATAATTCCCACTTGTCAAGGAAGAGACCAAGTGGAGGTTAATGTATCATGGGGCAGTTCCCCCATGCTGTTCTTGTGATAGTGAGTTCTCATTAGATCTGATGATTTTCTAAGGAGCTTTTCCTTCCTCCTGCTTTGTGAAGCAGGTGCTTTGCCTCCCCTTTGCCTTCTGCCATGATTGTAAGTTTCCTGAGGCCTCTCCAGTCATTCTGAACTGTAGGTCAATTAACTTTTTTCCTTTATAAATCATCCATTCTCGGGCAGTTCTTATCTAATTCCAAAGACGATCATTTTAACATGTCTTCAGAATAATCAGGCATATTTGTTGCTCTAAACTCTTTACTACCTTCTTTCACTCCCTAAGAAATTGAATAAAGTACTTCAGTATAGTTTTCTATACCTTCTATGATTTGCCTCAATCTACCTTCCAGTCTTCTTTTTCTCTCTTCATACTTTATAACCCACTATAACTAGACTATTTGGCACTCTCTGGCCTCCATTCTCACCTTCATGACCTTACTTATATAATTCTATCTGAAATTCCTCTACTTCAATTTCTTCCTAGAATACTTGGATTCATTTAGGTCTACCTCAAATGTTAATACCTCATGAAGTTATACTGGAAACACACAGTTAATACTTTGCATCTGGTGACAATCACTTATCACATTCTGCATGTAGTCATTTGTATGTGTCATACCTTTTCTATTAAATGAGGCTTCCCTTGGACAAGGAATATGTTTAACACATTTCTGCACACCAAAAGTGCCTTGCACAGAGTACTGTGCATAATGGGACTCAAATATATGAAAACTGATCTAATAAATGATTATCTTCATATAAGAGATGAATTAATCAAATGAAATTACTTACAATATATACGGTCTGATCCTTGAGATTTTCAGCTTTGGTTACTTGTTTAAACAAGCGAACAAAGTCATTAAATGTTTCACAGGTTATTTCGGAAGAACATCCATCCTCTGAAGAACTAAGATTATTCAATTTGTTTAAAATTTGTTCCAAAAGCAGCCTTAAGGTAAAGCATTCAACACAATTCACAAAGACATGTGGGAGCTGAAAATGAGAACCAAAACAATATAAGTAAAGAAGAAAACACACAGACCCGGTAATGGGTCTGCTGGATATTCTCCATTTGTCTTTCTAAGTCTATGTCCCACCAAACCCATCCCATGCCCCAAGAGCCTGATGGCTACAGATTATATTACCTAGACTCTCTTATTTACTGGCTCTGGATGGAGAAGCCAGTGGAAAAGAACCAGCAGAAGACTAAGGGAAAATGGTAGGAGAGAAGCTTGGATATTGATTTCCTTGACTCCCACCATGACCCCTAAGTGGCCCTAGCTTGGCAGTGGATACTCTTCTACCAAAGATCAAGTTGGACAGCCCCTCTTTTAAGGCTATACCTCTTGCTGGGTTCCAGTAACAGCCCTTCTATGATCCCTTCAGGCCTGGAGGTGGTGAAAGCCCTGGTGTACCATCATCCCTTACTGATTCCCATAAAATTTCCTCAACCTTTTAAAAATACTCCCTTCATTAAACCCACTTCAATTATTTCTTTCAGTTTGCCATTTCTTCCTTATAGAAATTCAAAGCAAACTGGTATTTTCCTATAAAGAATTCTTATATAGAAATCAGCCAGGCATAGTGGCTCACATTTGTAATTCTAAGGCTTTGAGGTCAGGAGTTCAAGACCAGCCTGGGTAATATAGTGAGACCCTGTCTCTACCAAAAAAAAAAAAAAAAAGAAGAAGAAGAAAATCCAAATATATTTGAATGTTAAAATTCTTAGTAGAAATTTTACATTTATAACTTTAATATCCTTGAATAAACCTAAGTCAAAAAAAAAGAATTTTAAGAGTTTGAAACCACAGTAATCCTTTTATGAGGACTGTTAAGAACTAGCTCTTGGCTATGCATATGGCTCATGGCTGTAATCGCAGTGCTTTAGGAGGCCAAGGTGGGAGGATCATTTGACCCTAGGAGTTAAAGATCAGCCAGGGAAACATAGTGAGACTCTGTCTCTAAAAATATAAAAACAATTAGACAGGCCTGGTGGAGCACATCTATAGTCCCAGCTACTTGGGATGCTGAAGTAGCCAGGAATTCATGGCTGTACTTGAGCCCAGGAATTTATGGCTGCAGTGAGCTATGATCATACCACTGCACTCCAACCTGGACAATACAGCAAGACCCCATTTCGGAAGGAAAAAAAAAAAAAAGAACTAGCTCTTCATTTAAAGAACAATTAAAATATCAAAATAAGGTAACTCCAGAAGTAATAAAGAAGCAAACAAGACTTGCTCACAAATACAATCTATCCTCAAAATACGATCACAAAAGCAGTACTGATCATTCAGAGGAAGATAACTTGAGGCATTTGGCATAAATAATGGAATTTGTAACTATTTTTAGTGATTTTATAAACTTTATCCAATAAGGAGGCTTTTCTTTCTCTGAGTAACAGTGTCAATAAAGCCACATTAAACTTACTTGGGGACAGTTTCACCAGCATTTGCTAACTCATTTCACTCTCACTCCTTTACGTACAAGAGTCCACAATATATCTGTTATGAATAGTGTCTTGCTTATGGCATTTGTGCTATCCATGACCTTTAAAGGCAGCATATTCTAAGTGCCTGCCTGGGTCCCTGTATCAGAAGCAGTGACAATTATATATTACACTGATTAAGTGGCAGCCGAAATTACAGTGTGAAAAAAATGGAATATAGCCCTTAAATATGGAACTTCCTTATTGGGTTTTCTTGCTTTTATTCAACATTTATTTTGGGGGCAGTTCATTCAGGAGGTTCTAAAATGCAAATGTCTGGATCAGGACCTTGTACACTCACATTCTGAAGTCTAGTATATAGCCCAGGCATGTGTGTTTCTAAAATGCACAGCTTATCTTTGGGATCAAAAGCTGAAATCCACAATTTAATAAGCTGAAATCAACAAGTTAATACGTGCTAAGCACTGTGCTTCGTACTGGGAATAATTTCACGAAACTCACAGGCTAAAGCCAGGGAAACACAAACACAAAATCATAGCTGAGAGAGCTAAATATTATGAAAGAATTAAGCACAGGGTGCTAAGGCTGCAAAACAGGGGTGCATCTAATATAGCTTAGAGGATCAGAAAAGACCTGTAGAGTATAAGTAGAAGAAAACCTGGCAAAATAAATAAGCATTTGCCAAGCAACAGGAAGAGCAAGTGGGTACAGGAAAGCCATTCCAAGTCAGGGAGCAGCATCTGCCATGGCTTGAAAGTAAGAGAGCAGGAACTGTACACAGTTCAATATGCCATCCTAAACATGCCTTCTCAGAGCTAGAAAAGGATGGGGTCAGCAAACCAATGCCTGTGGACTAGCAGCCTGTTTCTGTACATACTGTTGCTTTGAAACACAGTCTCGTCCATTCACATAGAGAATGTCCATGGCTGCTTTTACAATACAGCAGAGTTAAGTAGGTGAGACAGAAACTACATGGTCCACAAGCATAAAATGTTAGTTATCTGGGCCTTAAGAAAAAGACTGCCCATCTCTGGCTTAGGATTTGAAAGGCAGTATGGCAATACTCATCAATAATAGCAGCTAACTTTTATTGAGTGTTACTATGCACTATGTACTACAGAAGGCACTTTTCACGTACTAACATTTAATTCTCATAACAATCCCAAATGTTGTCACTATTAGCCAGCTTTGCAGATGGAGAAAGCACTAACTGGAGAATCCAAAAAGCAACATGAGTCTGCCAAACTCCACAGCCCAAACTCTTAAGCACTGTGTTATGAAAGATAAATTCAGCTCATGAAAGGTATTAAACATTGGGCAAATTACTTGAACACTGTCCTGAAGATTTTAAGTAAGATTTGTGTGGGCTAGCTGCTGGGTGAAGATTGCAAATAAGAGGCTTACATAAATATATGGAAAAAAACAATGGTAAATGAAAATCCTAGCACCAATGACTAGGATTAAAGGTAGATGAAGACATGATTTTAAAAATGTGAAGCAACAGACCAAGTTTATTGATGTGATTTACTGAATGAGGGAAGATGAGGAAAAAATTAAGAAAATGCAAGTTTGGACAATTGTGTTGATGACAGTGGATCATTCATAGAGAGAGATAATAAGGGAAGAAGAACAATGTAAAGGTCATATGTTTAATTTTGTATTTGTGGAGATTCAGAATTATCAGTAGCAATACATTAAAGAATGGCAAAGAAATATTTAATATTTTTATTCTTACCTCTAAAGTTTTCAACAAAGTTTGTGTTACATAGGTCTTTCCACTGGCAGTATGTCCATAAATAAAAATGGATGGAAAGCTGAAATGATGTCTCTAAGGGGAGAAAAGAAAAAGACAAATATGAGGCTGCATGTACAAAGTAGAAAATAAACACTTATCAACTTGTGAGAAAGTTGTATGTGGAAAAGTAAAATATTAAATCCAAATTCCTAACAGTGAACATGTTGTGGATGCATCAACACACTTTGAACTTACTTGAATTCAACTCTAAGCACTGTTATGAAATTAAAATTTCTGTAACATTATATTTGGCATATTTTATAATGTACTATATATTTATATTTTTATTATTGTACAGGCTTATATATACCAACTTGTACTTTCAACTTTATAGGAGATTTAAGGAATTTTTCAAGAATAATTTTGTTCATAATACATTTTGATATTACTCCTTCTTAAAGGATCTAATCTCCTGTGAGGCTACAACTTCATTATATATTTTAATGCTATGAAACTAAGTATATATAATCAAAAGGTTAAAAGGAATTTCAAGGTCCTCATTCTTAGGAAAACTTATAGACTAATTCTGAGCAATGCATACTCACTGATGCTGGCATAAATGCATATGGTAGATCACATAAAACACTAATAAAATCTGTAGAGCATTTATTTTAAAATACAGATTTGCAAGACCTTCCTGGAGTACATTCAGTTTGCAGCCCAGAGAAAAATAAATATTGTCAGAGGTCCCTCTGGTCAATCAACACTACGAATACTTACACTTCATTCCTTCAGTGAACACTTTCATTAGATACCTACTGAATGTTGAAAACCATGAGGTACTGAAGAGAACACATATCAGTAAAAGACATTATCTACTTTGGAGGAAATATAGTCTACAGTTTTTAAATAATTACAAGAAAATTAGATTATTTTTTTTAATAATACATTCTTTTTTTTTTGAGACAGAGTCTTGCTCTGTCACCCAGGCTAGAGTGCAGTTGCATGATCTCAGCTCACTGCAACCTCCGCCTCCCAGGTTCAAGTGATTCTCCTGCCTCAGCCTTCTGAGTAGCTGGGATTACAGGCACACACCACCACATCCAGCTAATTTTTGTATTTTTAGTAGAGACAGGGTTTCACCATGTTGGTCAGGCTGGTCTCGAACTCCTGACCTCGTGATCCGTCTGCCTTGGCCTCCCTAAGTGCTGGGATTACAAGCATGAGCCACTGCGCCTGGCCTATTTTTTAATAATATATTTTTTAAATAATTACAAGAAAATGAGATTATGCAATTTCCATGAGAAAGTTGAGTCTCTAGCATTGATTACAGCAACAGTCACAAACATTTATTACATTCCAGTCACTAAGTTAAATATTTTTTACAAAACAAATCAGGAACTCAGATTTATGCAGGAAAAAGACTTTCTAAATGGCATACAGCTATGGCAAAAACAGCTCAACTGCTAAAAACGGACTAAAAATAAATAGGTATTATAATACCTGAGTCCTTTTCTAAAGTTTATATGTAACAATCTTATAAATTAACTGGCTCAAAAATTCTGTCTCAGCAGGGTATGGTGGCTCATGCCTGCAATCTTGGCACTTTGGGAGGCCAAGGCAGGTAGATCACTTGAGTGTAGGAGTTCACTTGGTAAATGCAGTGAAACCCCATCTCTACAAAAAATACAGAAATAGCCAGGCTTGGTGGCACACATCTGGCTACTTGGAGGCTGAAGCAGGAGGATCACTTGAGCCCAGGAGGCAGAGGCTGCAGTGAGCCAAGATCATGCCACTACATTCCAGCATGGGAAAGAGAGCCAGACCCTGTCGTTAAAAACAAACAACAAAGGCCGGGCGCAGTGGCTCAAGCCTGTAATCCCAGCACTTTGGGAGGCCGAGGCGGGTGGATCATGAGGTCAACAGATCGAGACCATCCTGGTCAACATGGTGAAACCCCGTCTCTACTAAAAATTACAAAAAATTAGCTGGGCACGGTGGCGCGTGCCTGTAATCCCAGCTACTCAGGAGGCTGAGGCAGGAGAATTGCCTGAACCCAGGGGGCGGAGGTTGCGGTAAGCCGAGATTGCTCCATTGCACTCCAGCCTGGGTAACAAGAGCGAAACTCCATCTCAAACAAACAAACAAACAAACAAAAAATTCTCTCCCTAGAATTAAATGCATGTTGCTGAGCATCTCTGTCAACCATTACATTTTTGTTGCCTAATGATACCTTATAACAGCTTTCCTATTTGTTACCTAGAATTATGTTGAACTGTTCCACTGTTATTTAACCTTTCACCTTTATAAATCTTGCTAACATAAACTGCAATAAGCTAGGGCCTGACACAGAAAAGGTGCTCAATATTTATTTATTATACAAATAAATAAATATTCTTAGAAACATGAACCAATTTTTTATAGTTCTTTGCTACAGTTCTTTGGATTTCCCACATGCACAGCACCTTGCAGAAAAGTGATACTAATATTGTTAAACATAATTTTCATTAGGTGCAAAGGTCAAAAACCTTTCTGTGATCCACCACTAAGTCATTACTACTCATCCCTATTTGCCAATGCTCTTTTTCAGGAGGAGCATTTCTGGTTGGAGTGATCTGCATTACAGAGATGAAAATCAGAGAACATAATCAAGAAAATAATATAGATAACTATAATTGAAGCATTATAAACAGAAAATTAATTGAAGATGCAATTGTTGACCTCTAATTTCCCTAAATAATGTGCCCCTTTAGACAGAGGGCAGCACTTTTCCACTAATGTCTCATAGGCCACCTCAAATTACCATGCAGTATTTCCAGTTGTATGAAAGTAACTTATTGTACCTTTTCTATGTTTAGATACGTTTAGATGCATACTTACCACTGTGTTATAATTGCCTACAGTATTCAGTATAGTAGCACCGTTGTACAGGTTTATAGCCTAGAAGGAATGGGCTACATCATACAACCCTAGATGTATAGGAGGCTACACCATCTAGGTTTGTGTAAATACACTTTATGGTATTCATAGCGATGAAATTGCCTAGCGATGCATTTCTCAGGAGGTATCCCCCTCATTACGTGACGGCAACGGATGACTATAGTTAAAAAAGCTAATCAGAAGATGGGGGTATGAGTATGACGCTAAATTCTCATTCACTTTCTTCGTAGGTAAGATCCAAGTTTCATTAATTCCAGTTCTGATTAATGAATCTGAATCAAAAAGCACACCAAAGACCATCAGCAAATAGTCAAAAACAGGTTAAATTTTGAATTGGTTAATGCTACCCTCTGCTTATTGAAAGGACTCCCTATGTTCATTCAGAAAAGACAAACTTCCTCCCTAGGGCATCCTGTGAACTACCAGTTAAGGAGCAAAGTTTACACTTGACCTCTTCGGAACTTTTACAATTCTGGAAAAGCCAGTGCATTTATAAAACCGAAGCACTGCTTTGGCCCTTAGCGGCTTTGAAAACCACCACCTCTCTACACTTGACTTACTCCAACTACCTCATAGAAACGTGCGAACTTACATTTTAATAAATAACACTCTGAAAACACATCTGTTACATCAATGTCACTGAATTGGGGTAAGATAATGAGCAACTTCTAGCAGCTACTGTGGGCAAACTTCTCAGAAGTGCAGCGTGTGTCAAATAACATCTTGGGCAACGTCATGTAGTGCAGGCCGGTCCTTTTTGGACAGTCTCCTCTTAATCGGAAGAGATTGTGGGTGAAGGTGCAGGGCAGTCCCACAACACCCCTATCTCAACGTAAAAACGGCCTTTTGGCCCTCAATCCAAACACGAAAAAAAGTATTGGAACAGATCGCAAGAATACGGAAACGCCTGCCTCGAGTATCCGGAACACAGTTTAACTACAATACCTCTCCAAACAAGGACTGCAAGGTGGACACTTGAGACTCGCGACAAAGCACCACGTTTTCCAAGTGGGTCATTCTGCCGGACACCGCCACAGAGGACCGTGCAGCCAGCGCACAGGCCCCTATCACAAGCAGCAACCTCGCTGGGTCTACCGGCCTGCGCTCCCGCCGGAAACCGGACCCACCGCGTCGAGGAAGAAGCCGGCGCTGCCTGGCGGCGGCGTGACGACAGCAAGTGCGCCGAGCGTCGCCGCCGCTCTAGTCTCACGGATAGACTCTTCGCATTCTCACTGGTCCTGGGTGCGCGGGGGATTTTCGTGGATCTCTGCTTGGTGGGGATTTTGGGCCGGGGCTTTTCCCACTCAAAGGCCGAGAAGACGAAGCGGAGATGGGCGAATGGGGAAGAGGTGGGAGAAGTTAAGGGGGTCCTGTTGCCTCTAATGACCCGGGAACCCGTGCCTTTAGCTTTCCCGGTTGGAAGCCCCAAGTTTAGAAACCTTGAGTGCCTTGGAAGACGGACCTGGAGCTAGGGCCCTTAGAGGGACTTGGAAGGCCGACTTAGGAAACTAATATGGTCAAAAGATGGGTTTTCTTCCTGACGAGGAGGTGGGAAATTAGTGGCGTTGAGTGCAAAACAGGGTGTAGTAGGGTTTAATGAACAGCTTGAAATTACTATTTTTCGTGCAAGCTTGAAACCAGATGTGGAAGCCTCTCATTCCTAATTGGAGGATGTCATATGTGTGTGGTGAGGGTGATAGTATAATAATGCTATGTTTAGCGTAAGACTTTAACGTGTATTTATTCATGGGACATCTATGGCAACTAAACACAAGAATATTCTGGAAATAAGGTAAAGAAGTAGACAAATGCGTGGTGGAAGAGAGCTTGGCGTCCTGAAACCCCTGGGTTGGGACCACTGAGTCAGCTACTGAATAGTGGGACTTTGGAATCGCTGAGCCTCAACTTCCTTATCTATAAAATAGGGATAATACTGGCTAGCTTATTGTTAGGAGTAAAAGATGGTGTACATACTACCTGCTACACATAAATTTTAAATTGTGGACTTCAGTCAGCTCATAGATTGTAGATCAGTCTTATATTTGTGACTGTCAAAGGATCTTTTGAGAATTGTGGTCTATAACGCATTAGCTAGTCAAAATTATATTTTCATGCAATAATTCAAAAGCATTTGCCCAGGTACTTTTAATAGAGATTCTAAAGGTTATAATGGGACCATCCATCACATTTCAATGTCTCCACGGGAAGTTCGCCTTTGCTACTCTCCCAAGACTTATACATCTGCAATAGTATGTATAAAATGTATACATACATTATAATCATAATGCTACGTCTATAGCATTCAATAAAACTAATTGTCTAAAATGTTAGTCTCCCTCTCTATATAGTTTATGAGGGCAAGGAATACTGGCTTCACAGTTCAGTTTCCAGCATGTACTGTTATGCCTGGCAGATACGTTATAAACAGTCGGATAGGCTGGGTGCCTGGCGTGGAAAGTGGAATCAATTTGATTTGTTAAAAAGACTATTGCAATGTCCCAAACAGCAAATAATAATGGCTTCAATAAACAATGGGAATTGGTGAGAGGCAATGGTAATTAAGGTTCATTAAACAATGTGGCAGACACTGTGATAGATATATTACTTCCATTTAAATTTTAACGATATTATAATAGAGATACCATTCTTGTTTCACCTATGAAAAAATAAGATTAGGTTAGGTAATTTATCCAAAGGTTTATAGTTCATACTTACTTGAACTTAGATCTGGTTAATCCTAAAACCCTTAATCTTTTTACTGCCCATACTGGGAATGGGCTAAGTCTGAGAGAAATTTAGAAGTATATTTTATGGAACTCAGTAGCTGTTTGTAAGAGATGGAGGGAGTAGTCACAGAGACTAGCATTTAGGTCTCTGACATAGGTGATTTTAGGTTTTACCAGTAGTGAAATAAAAAATAAGGAATACAGATGAAAAGCCAGATGGAAAAAAAAGGAGCAGGTTTATTGATTTAGTTTTATCTTTGTGAGATAAGAAATGACCAAAATGAGTTTGTTATATTAAATGTTAAGTGTCTGCAAAATAATCAGATAAATAAGTCCAGTAAAAATGGATCTGTAACTTGAGAGAGAAGGGCCCAGAGAAGACACAGAAATCATTATATAGGCAGTTGAGCCAGTTCTCTAAATGAGGTTAGTTATGGGTGTTTGTTTCATGGATTCCATTGAATTATTTAAAAATAAATAACTAGGACTAGGGAATAGAAGGTGATTTTCTCAACTGGATAAAGAGCATCTGTGAAAAAAACTACAGCCAATATCATAATTAATTGTGAAATATTAATTAGTTGTGAAATACTACATTTAGGAACAAGGCAAGGGTATCTGTTCTCACCCCTCTGTGCAATATTGTACTGGAGGTTGTAACCAGTGCAATAAGAAAAAGAAATTAAATGCACTCCGATTTGAAAGAAAAAAATGGAATTTATTTGCAGACAACATGATTGTTATGTAGAAAATCTGATGGAGTCTACAAAAAAGTTACTAGAGCTAATAAGTGAGCTTTGCAAGGTTTTAAGATGTAAGATTAACATAGAAAAATGTTAATTTTTCTATTTAATATAATAAAAAATTTATATTTACTAGCAATAAGCAATTGGGAATTGAAATTTAAAATAACAGCACAATTTCAAAATGAAAAATTATTAAATACTGAAAAATAAGTCTGACACATGTAAGACTTACACATGTAAGTCTGACATGCTGAAAACTACAGAATATTACTGAGAAATTAAAGAAGATACTATTTTAAAATAGAGTGATACCATGTTTAAGAGTCAGACTCAATTTTGTTAAAATTTGTCACTTTACCCCAGACTGATGTGTAGATTCAACACAATCCCAGTGTTGAATCCATGCATAATAATAAATAAATAAAATAAAATAAAATGGGTTTCTTGTAGGCAGTATATACAGTTGCCCTTTTGTATCTGTGGTTCCACATGCATGGATTCAAATAATAGGATCACAAAATCTTAGTGTGCTCTCTCTCTTTTCTTTTTTGTTAGAAAATTACAAGTTAAAAATAGACTCGGCCAGGCGAAGTGGCTCACACCTGTTATCCCAACAATTTGGGATGCCAAGGCAGGCGAATTGCTTGAGCTTAGGAGTTTGAGACCAGCCTGGGCAACATGGTGAAACCTCGTCTCTATGAAAATACAAATATTAATCAGCCATTGTGGTTTGTGCCTGTGGTCCCAGCTACTTGGGAGGCTGAGGTAGGTGGATCACTTGAGGCTAGAAAATGGGGAATGCTGCTTTATTGCCGCAGGGATGAAATCCTAGGGGATTGAAGCTATCTCCTTTTGCTGAGTCCAGGTGGTGCCAGCTGGTCCATCAGAATGCAGGGTCTGGAAAATATCTCAAACATCAATCTTAGGGTTTATAATAGTAGTGTTATATATAGGAGAAATTAAGATTACAAATCTTGTGACCTCTAGTTACCTGACTCCTGAATCATATTTCTAAGCTTGTGGCTAATTTGTTAGTTTTACAAAGGCAGTTTTAGTCCCTGAGCAATGAGAGAGTTATTTTGGGAAGGGGCTGTTAACATAAATTGCTCCCATAGTTAGCTGGGCCTATACTCAGGAACAAACAAGGGAAGCTTGGAGGTTAGACACAAGGTAGAATCAAGTTAGGTTAGATTTCTCTAACTATTAAAATTTTTGTAAAAGCAGTTTCAAACATAGATATTTAATTTTGCTTAAGTAAAATATAGGAGTGAGATTGCTGGATCATATGATAAATATATGTTTAGGTTCACAAGAAATTGCCAAACCCATTTCCAAAGTGACTGTACTATTTCACATTCCCACTGGCAATTATGAGAATTCCAGATATTTCACATCCTCATCTTACTTTTATCCTACCTGTGTTCTATTTTAAAATGGGTTTCTTCATATGGACACAGGGAGGGGAACATCACACACCCGGGCCTATCAGGGGATGTGAGGCTAGGGGAGGCATAGCAGGGGGTGGGGTTTTTAAGGTAAGTAAATAAATTAAATAAAATGGGTTTCTTGAAGGCAGTGTATATAGTTGCCCTTTTGTATCTGTGGTTCCACACGCATGGATTCAACTAATAAAATCAAAACAATTAGAAAAAAAAAGGAACAGTATAACAATACAAATAAAAACAATGTAGTACAACAACTACTTATATATCTTTTATATTGTTTTACGTATTGTAAGTAATCTAGAGATGATTTATACAGTATGCAGGATGGTGTGCATAGGTTTTATGCAAATATGTAGCCATTTTATATAAGAAATTTAAACATCCACAGATTTTGGTATCCATGATGGTCTTGGAGCCAATGCCCCACAGATACCAAGGGACAACTGTAGTGAGAGCTTTCTTATTTGTCCTTATTTATCTAATCTGACAATATCTATGTTTCAACTGGTATGTTCAGATGATTTATATTGTCTTAATTATTTATATACTTGAACTGAAATCTATCATCTTACTAGTTGTTTCCTATTTGTTTCATCTGTATTTTTTTTTCTTTTTTCTCTTTTTCTGCTCCTTGCTTTTACGTTACTGGAGCATTTTTAAAAACTACATTTTGCCTCTGCTTTGGGCTTATTACTTATGCCAGTTTTTAATATTGTTATCATGTTTGCCCTAGGGTTTATAATACATGTGTTTAATTAACCATCATCTACCTTTAAATATATTAAACCACTTCAAGTCTACTGTAAGAACCTCACTGCAGTGTACTTTCAATTCTCACTCCTATCTTTTGTGCTTTTGTTGTCACATCTTTTACTTTTTATTATGTTAAATAAACCCAAGATATGTTGCTACTTGGCCAGTGCTGTGCAATAAAGCTTTCTGTTTTGTCCAGCATGGTATTCACTGGCCACATGTGGCTGTTGAACTCTTGAAATGTGGCTAGTTATAACAATGGACTGAATTTTTAGCTTTTATTTTACTTTTAATTAATTTAAATTATATATTGCTACCTTTGGCTAGTGGCTAGTATATTTAATGGTACAGTTTTAGATAAATATATTTAGAATGACTAAAATAAAAAATAAAACAGGAACTGGGCACAG